AATCATCAAAAACGAATTTATACATTTGGTCTAATTTTTAACAAAACTTTAGTATTTATGACGAATTGTGTATTTCGTAATTTAAAATATATATTAAAATATAATTTGTAGCACTTTATTGTAATTGGTGTATCTTGTAGAGCTCTACAAAAATATATTTCCAATTTAAAAACTTTGATTTTGATATATAATTTTTAGTGTACTTTTGTATTAAAGTATTTTTTTATATGTATGTTTGTTCTAAAGTGTATTAATTCAAGTACTACATATTTTGAAACACATTATGAGGTTTATTGTGTAAAGTTTTGAATGTCCTGGGATGACACGTGTGTCCTGTAAAGCTCGTTGAAAATGCTTATCAAAGTCTTTGATTTCTATATACAGCATTTTCATGTACGTTGATACTGAAGTGATTTTTATTAATTTGTTTGTTCTAAAGTATATTAAATTAAGTACTACATATTTTGAAACAAATTATAAAATTCTTTTTGTGAAAAGTTTAATATTTAATATTTTTGTACATTTATGTGCTAAATAATTTTTAATTTCATTTTTTGTTCCAGAGTATATCAAATTAAGTACTACACATTTTAAAACACATTATAAGATATATTGTGAAAAAATATTAAATTCTGGTATGACCTGTATATCCTGTAAAGCTCATTGAAATTGCATACAATCTTGAATTTATATAAAGCTTTTTGCTGCAATTGATATTAAATTATCTTTGATTTATTTTTTTTATTCTGAAGTATACTAATCCAAGTACCACATATTTTTTAACATATATCGATGAATATTGTATAAAAATTTGAATATCTTGGTATAAACGGTATGTCCTGCAGAGCTCTTTAAACATGCATATGAAAAACTTTAAACAAATTCTGTGTGGGGTGTTCTGGCGTTTGTTTGTGGTAAATGATTTTTGGTTAATTTTTTTGCTTCAAATTATATTAATTTTAGTACTACATATTACAAAATACATATCAAGAAATATTTAAAAAAAAATATAACATCCTACTACAAGTAATATGTTTTGCAAAGCTGTTTGAAAATGCATAAATAATTCCCATAGAACACGTTTTAGTGTATTTTTGTACTAGAGTATTTTTTACTCAGTTTTTTGCTCTAATATATACTAATTTAAGTACTACATAATACAAAATACATTTTAAATAATGTTGTACAATAATTTAAATATCCTAGTAGTAACAATATGTCCTGTAAAGCTCTTTGAAAGTGCATGAACAATTCTCATAGTACATTTTGGAGTACTTTTGAACTAAATTATTTTTAACTTAGTTTTTTGCTCTAAAGTATACTAATTTAAAAACTACATATTACAAAATACATATTGAAAAATATTGTACAAAAAATTGAACAACCTAGTATTACTCATATGTCTGCAGAGCTCCTTCAATATGCTTTATGATATTAACAAATCCTATAAAACGTTTTGATGTACTTTTGTACTAAAATATTTTTTCCATAAGAAATTTTGGGGTACTTTTGTACTAAGTATTTTTTACCTTGTTTTTTGCTTCAAGGTATACTAATTTAAGTACTGCATATCATAAAGTACATATTGAGAAATACTGTAAAAAAATTTAAATCTGCATTTAAATATGCTCTTTAAATATGAATTTTTTAACGATTTCTTTAGAACATTTTGGTGTACTTTTGTACTAAATTATTTTTCATTTATTTTTTTGCTCCAAAATAATTAAGTTTAGATATTACATATTTTAATATACATTATAAGAAATATTTTGGAAAAAGTTGAATATCCTAGTATTATTGGTATGTCCTGCAGAGCTTCTTAAATATGCATCTTCTAACAATTCTTATAGAGCGTTATGGTGTACTTTTGTACTAAATAATTTTTTATTCATTTTTTTGCTTCAAAATATATTAATCTAAGTATTACATATTATAATCCAAATATCGAGAAATATTTTGTGAAAATTTTATCATCCTACTACAAGTAGTATGTTCTGCAGAGCTCTTTGAAAATGCATAGAACTTTCATAGAACTGCATAGAAAGAAATAATTCCCATAGAACATTTTGGGGAACTTTGGTACAAAAGTATTTTTTACTCAGTTTTTTGCTAAATGTATACTAATTTAAGTGCTACATATTACAAAATACATATTGAGAAATATTGTACAAAAATTTGAACATTCTAATATCACTCATATGTCCTGCAGAGCTTCTTAAATATGCATCTTCCAACAATTTTTATAGAGCGTTATGGTGTACTTTTGTACTAAATTATTTTTTATTCAATTGTTTTGCTTCAAGGTATATTAATCTAAGTATTACATATTATAATCCAAATATTGAAAAATATTGTGTGAAAATTTTAATATCCAAGTGGGAACAGTATGTCCTGTAGAGCTCGTCGAAAAATGTATTTGAAATTATATTCACAACACCAATTTTGTGAAGAAAATTTTGGTGCACTTTTGATGAACTATATTATTTTTTATTCCATATCTAATAATCAAAATGTTATATTTTTGAATAATATAGTTTAAATTATATATTAAGTAACAACATATTAAAAATTTAATACTATTGGTCCTGCAAAGTTGAATAAAAATATATTTTAACAATCAAGTCAACTCAAACATTTTTCCATTACATTAATGTAAATACTAATGTAATACATTACACTAATGTAAATAAAATTTTATACTCTGGATTTTTATTTTTATTTAAATTTTGTTCAATTAATACAAAGTTTAATAATTAAATATAAATATAATTATATATAACATTTAAAATATATATATATATATACATAGGATTTTTTTAAAAAAAATTCAGAAACTAGTATAGTAATTCTTTTATTTTTAAGAAATACCTTAGAACATGCAAAAAACTACAATCGTACAGGTCAATGGCAAGTTGAAAGAAATGGGAATTTCATATATATAAATAAACAAAAAAAAAGTGGTAATCAATCATTTACCAAAAATATCAAATATAATTATTACTTTTTTCAGGAAAGTACCACGGCCGATAAAATTTTGACCTTTCAAAATAAAAAAAATTTCAGTGCTTCACCATAAACAATTTTTAAAATATTTAATTATTAAAGTAATCTCTCTTGTATTTATCAATATGAAATTTATAATCTTTAAGAAGTTTTATATTGTCCATCAGTGATATAATAATGAGATTAAAAATTGTGATCGCGTTTGAACTATGGCTTGCTTTTCAAAGATAACAAATTATATTTAATAAATATGTTTGTATATATATATATATATATATATATATTGATATATGAGAAAAAATTATAATGACCTCATATAACATAGTTTTGATTTGAAATTCAATCTAACTTAGAAATTGTAAATATGTATGTCATTAGTATACTATTTCTTATAAATAAACAATTTACTAATTGCCCATGATTTAATATATTTAATAAATAGTATTTACTATTATAAGTTTATAATTAATTTTTATATATATATATATATATATATACTAGCATACCCGGCTACGATTTGCAGTGGCTTCTCTGAAAATCCACCGAATTGAATTTTGAATCTTTGGTACAATCAACAGTTCAATATGGTTTTTTTTAACTTATGTTGATCAAAAATATTAATTATTAATATATATATATATATTTATATAAATATATATATATATATATATATATATATATATATATGTATATATAATTTTTTAGTATTCATAAATTATATTACTTGATAGAACTTTACAAAAATGAACTAAATGAAAAGCTCCTTGGTTTGGTTTAGCAATTTCAATATTTTTGAAAAAAGAGATGGAAATTTTATATAAAAATTATAGACGAAAAGTTTATATAAAATAAATAACATATAATTTGTAATAAAACTATATTTTTCAAACAATTTTAAAATAAATCATACAATTAACATTATACTATTTTAGTATAAAATTGTTTACTTTTACTTAGTTAAATTGGGAGTAAACTATTGTTTTGATTGTATGTATTTATTAGTTTAGATTAATTAAACTTAAATAAAATCACCTTTTATTTAATACTATTATATGTGGCAAGTCTCTACATTTTTTGGTTTAGCAACTTTAACATTTTTTTCTATTAGGATAGATTTTTTTATTATTTTTAAATTGTGTCACTTCACAAATATAAGAACATATTTAAAACAGTATTTTGAATTTAAAAATGTAATAAAACATGTAAAAATATTTTTTTTAAATTAAATTTTATATAATAATTTATTATGTTTATAACATAATATTAACCTAGAAAAATACATTGGACGATTCGATTAATAATATTATTATTTTTGATTAATGAAAATAATTCGAATGTTATTATTGGACGCTTTTTTAAAATAGCAAAATATGAAACAAACTTTATTTTTTGATAAAAAATAATATTTTTATCAAATATTTTTATTCAGTAATTTTCGTACATATATATTATATGTATATTTAAAAACTATTTTTAAAATGAAAAAATATTCAAAATTGTATTATCAGTATAAAAATTTGGATAAATACTACCCTTAATATAAACAATTTATTTACCAAAAAAATAATTTAAAATAATAATTTAAAATTTAAAAGACTCGATTTTATTAATTATTTATGAATGAAGTATAAGTTGTTTTATTTAATTTATCAAAACAAAAATATTAAACACAAATAATTTTGCATTTAAAAATAATAACCCCAATTTTATTTTTGCTTACATTCAAAATTTTACAGTAAACTTGTTTTATATAAAAATTTATTAAAAATCAAAACTGTACAAAAATGGTGTGAATTTATTTTCAACTCTTAACTTCATATATCCATATATACATTTACACACATTTATATATATATATATATATATATATATATATATACTTTATATATATATAGATATATAATTATCTATGTATGATGTACATGATCATATCTCAAAACATTTTAACGTATAAATATAATAAGCAGTTTTCTGTCCTATGACATTATTTAGTATAGATCGTTCGAACAAACAACATCTATACTAATTTTAGTTAAAACTATTTATTTTAACTTAATTTAGTTTAAGTTTTTATTAGTGTTTGTGATTTTGTGTGGACGCAGTTTTAATTAAAGGTGAGTACAGTGAATAATTGTAAAGGACACATTTTTTGGGTTTTGTAATTATAGTAATTTTTTTGGGTGAAAATTAAAAAGTTTAGTTAATAAGTCAGGAATTTAGGTAAATTTTTCTAAACAACGGTGTACTTTAAATTATTTTTATATGAGTTTTAATATTTTATTTTAATTTTTGAACTTAACAATGCTTCGGATAAAGTTGCTTTGGTGTATTTTTTGATGTTAAATTTTTAACATTTTTTTTAAATTTTTCTGATTTTTTTATTTTAGATATAACGCACTTAAATATTTTTTTTAGATAAAATAAGTAGTTAAGTAATGTGTAGAATAAGTCTTAATAGTTTATTTTATTATTTGAATTCACCATTTCAACAGACTAATTTATAAATTTTCCTGCAAGCTTGCCTGATGCATTTTTTTGTTTTTTTATTTTTTCCAATTTTTCGAAATTCTTTACAATTTTTTCAACCAGGAGTAATTTAAATGAAATTTTGTGTTAAAAGATGTAACTAAAATTATTTTAAAAGTAGGTTTTAGTATTTTATTATATTAATTGAATTTACCACTGCAAATGATTAAAATAGTATTTTTGCTCAGGAGGGCATCAGTTTGTTGAGTTTTATATTTTTATTAATTTTTTAGCATTTTTAAGAATTTTATAAATTAATTATGAATAATTTAGATAAACTGTCGTACTGAAATATGTAACTAAAAATTTCGTGAATTAAGTTTTAGTAATTTATTTTAATATTTCAATTTAACATTGCTACTGATTAAATAGTATTTTTTCTCAGGAGTGCATCAGGTCCATTTTTTGGGTTTTATATTTTTAATATTTTTTAGCATTTTTAAGAATTTTATAAATTAACTTCCAATAATTTAGATAAAATTCTGTGCTGAAATATGTAATTAAAAATTTTGTGTATTAAGTCTTAGTATTTTATTTTAATATTTGAATTTACTACTGGTGTATTTGGTATATTTGTTTTTTTATTTTTAACATTTTTTTGGATAGAGATAAATTATTTTAAATTAAACAGAACGATTTTAGATAAAATTTTCTAAAAAATGGTAAAATCGTAATTAATTTAACGTAAGTCCTAGTATTTTATTTTAATATTTGAAATTAATAAATTGAATTATTTGATACTTTATTATGAACCAAGTTAATTTTATTGTATTGTAAGTTCACTTGGAAGATATTATTTTCTATTTTTATTAATTAAATATACTTATAAATTAAAATTAAATACATAAAATTATTTATAAAGTTCTATTAAATAATATAAACTTATATTTTTGAATGAAAAATTTTAATTTATGAAAATAATAATAAATAGTGCAAAAATATTTGTAAATCCTATAAAACTTTTCTGACTTTTGAAAAAACTACAATTTAACAAAAATTTAACACTAAATAATATTTTTTAAGAAAATTTCAATTTAGTCATTTCAAGGTTCAATTATAACCTGATATAAAGGTGACATTATATTAATTGATTAAAATTATCTTTGGCGTTAAAATTAATTAAGAAATTTGATAAATAAATTAATGACTTGTGAATTTTATAATCTGCATTCACAAATTTTCGAAAAATCATTCTTAATAATTCCTTTTATATTACGAATTTTTTCAGTAATAAAACACACTAAACAAAACCATTTTCTTAGTCTTCCAACTATAGTATCAAGTTCAAATAATAAAATAAAATACTAAGACTTATTTTAAAAAAATAATAATTATACAAATTTGTTCCTAATTTTATCTAAATTCATTTTGCCAAAGCCAAAAAAATCTATCTTTCTTCAAAACAATGTTAACAACCCAAAACCAAAAAATGCACCTCAAATACATACTCGTACAAAAGAACTAACTTGATAAATAAATTATCATTTACTTATCAAAATTTATCATCATTACTTATCAAAGAATAAAAAAAATTCTTACCACTTCAACTATCTATTTTTTTTAGATGTATCACCAGCCCGTAAATGAAGGCTTCGCCATCAACACCAGCGCCCCTGGCGCCGAGACCATGGAAATAGCAGTCAGGGAATTAAGGGAAACCCCTGAAGTCCGTCAAGCTGCAATTGTAGAACTAAGACAACTTTTATCAGAAGCTAAAGATTTGTGCTACAGAGACGATGATGAATTTCTTGTCATTTTCTTGAGACCTTGCAAATTTTACGCCAAGAGCGCCCTGGAACTGGTAAGTGGGGTAAAGGACTTATTTGTGGTTGCATTTGGAGGTTAGTTTTGGGGTGGTGTGGTAGGGCAATGTCGTTGCTACATTTTGGTCAAAATTTGTGAGAGTTGGTGGGAATTTGTGGATGTTGTGCGCAAAATCCAAAATTGGGTATTTGGAGGTGCGTTGATGTCAATTGCGACTAAACCAGAGGTCACAAATTTAGGATTTAAATTGTAAATGATATTTTGCAATATAGTGGTTCAATTAAGGTCAAAAACATCTTCAAATTTTATGTGCAAGGGATGTTATTGCAAAAATCGCTCATCACCAAAAGCATTCATATGTCTTGTTTTGAGATTTGTGACAAAATCATATAAATTTCTTATTATTTCTTATTTCAAAGGAAGTGTTTATGCAAATTGGAGTATCAATTGCATAAACTATCTATTAAATTACAATTAAAAACCTATTACGCCGATATTGACGCATGTTGGCTTTGAATTTTTTGCTTCAAGTTCATCAACTTCTTTGCGTTTTTTTGCATAACGGAATAAAGTCGTATGAATAATTATTGATTTTATTACATTTACCGGAATGTATGTTCTTAGAAATGCTGGGCGATGACACGTATACAGTGCCGAAACGTAGAGAATAATAAATTTTTTAATATATATGAATTTTGATTTGAAATTTGACTTATTTATGAGTTCTGAAATTAGTACAGTTACGCTTGGACATTTTTGTATATTCTAGATTATATTTTGGAAACTATAGTTCTGATACATATAGTATGTTAGAATAAAAGTTAGATTATGAAATTATCTAAATTTTTTTCATACAAAATAAATTCGTACATTGAAGTTTGTTGAATAAAAAAATATTTTGAAGTTGAGCAAATCAAAAATTTGAATATAGATAATCACGTTAGAACGTTAAGAGACGTTAGAATAATTACGTTTTTGAATAATTTATATAAAATTTCAAAAACTATCGTTCTGATACATATAAAATGTTAAGACTAATTGTATATTATAGAATTATCTTAATTTTTTTCATAAATAATAAACATGTATATTGAAGTTTGTTTAACAAAAAAATGTTTTGAAATTCGACTATTGAAAAACTTCTACTTAAAACTTTCGTTTATGTTGTATGTATAGGAATTTTTGCATATGCGTTTTTTTGTGGACGATTTATCGAAAACCATCATTTAGATTTATATATAATGTTAGCACAAAATGTAGATTACAAAATTATCTAATTTTTTTCATACAACATAAATGTGTATTAGTAATTTTGTTTAACAAACAAATATTTTAAACTTCAACAATTCATAAAATTGTGTAAAATAACGCTTAGATATTTTTGGACACTTTCGACGTTTTTTCAAAAACTACTAGTTCGATATATATAGAATGTTACAGAAACATATATAGAGAGTATAGAATTATCTAGAACCTTTTCTTAAAACATAAATTTGGGTTTCCAATTTGGTTTAACAAAAATTATTTCAAACTTCAACAATTCATAAAATCGTGTATACACAATAACGCTTGGACATTTTTGACGATATTTTAAAATCTGTAACTCAGATATATATAGAATATTAGACCAAAATATAGAGTATAAAATTGTCTAAAATCTTTTCATACAACATAAATGTGTATTCATACTTTCGTTTAACAAAATTTTATTTTAAAATCCATTAAACGACTAGCATCCATAGACTAAGTTTGTCCGAGATTGACCTATTGATTTATGCAAAATAATATTATTACAATATTGCATTATTATTGCAATTAGCTAATTACACAAAAAAGTATTTACTTGTGCATTACACGTGCATTATATCTCATAATTGAAATTTATTCTATACATTGTTTTTTTGAAGTGGATGATGCGACTTGTAGAAATTTCTGTCAGTTTTTATCTATTTCTCGAGATTACGAAATGACCTTAGAACCACATCAATAGAATATTGATAAAATGAGATATATATATATATATATATATATATATATGTATATATGTATATATATATTTATATGGAAATATTTGACGTCTTTGTGGAGAGAAAATTGTAAGAATTTTATCTGTCTGATGGCACACTTTTTTTACGTTCCGTCAAAAATCTTGAAAAATATTGGACTAAATTGTTTGATGTATTAGACAAATATATAGAACAAAAAATTCTATACAAACTTGCCAAACAATGTTATTAAGTATTTTTGCAAATTTTGTTTAAAAATAATTTAAACCCTTGCATCATTCTTTACGCAAAATTGAGTTCAAAAAAACTATGTCTTATTCTAAGTTTGACGAACGGGACATTTTTTGTACAATTAATTAAATATCTCCAAAACTATGAAACTTTCCTTTATAAAACTTTTCACAAGTGTTTTAAGCTTAAAACAATCTCAAACTTTTTCCGAATAATTAATTCTTGTATTAAAAAATTTAGTTATTCAAGCAAGATTTTGTTTCAGAGACCAATGCCTTTTAAGTTTAACGCCCGGGACATTTTTTTGTACAATTAATTGAATATTTCCAAAACTAAGAAACTTTTCTTAATAAAACCTTTCACAAATATTTTAAGCAAGCAATCTAAAACTCTTCCATACATCACAATTCCCAACAATTAAATTTTATATTGAAAAAATTGGTTATTCAAGCTAATTTTTATTAAAAAAAACTATGCCTTATAATGTTGAAGCTTGGGAAATTTTTGTACAAAAAATTAACTATCTCCAAAACTATAAATCTTTTCTTTACAAAACCTTCTACAAGTATATAGAGCATATAATTTTCAAAAACTTTTCCATACATCACAATTCCCAATAATTAATTTTTACATTAAAAAAATTAGTTAATCAAGTGCACGTGTACGAGTAGAAATTACGCAACGTGCGTTTCCCAGCCACATTTATCGTTTTTAAAATCATAAAACAAAGATAAGTATTAATAATTTCAAAGTTTTTATATTAATACGGAACCATTTATGTGAACGAGCGTGAATTATGCATGTTTTTATATAAAAAAGTTGCAAAATGATGCAGTTTTGCAACAACAATGAGAACTACTGTTTTTGCAGCATAAATCGATATAAAAATAACTATTAATATATATATATATATATATATATATATATATATATATATATGTATATAAATGTGTATATTATACCATATATAATTCTCATTGCGATAACATTTTTAGTTTTTGAAATAAAGTACAAAGTGCACAAAATTGCACGTATTCAAATAATTTTTTTTTGTACCAATTTGTTTTTTTTTTTAATTTTTATTATTTTTTTCCTTTTCCCAGATGCGTCGTATTGCCCAATTCCGAAAAGATTACAACTCAATTTTGGACAATTTGATGCCAGAAGACGAAAGAGTTGCCTTTTGTGACAACGATGTTGTCAACGTTTTGACCAACAGGGATCAACTTGGCAGAAGAGTGCTGATTGTAAATGCAGGAGGTAAGGCACAAAATTTTTGAAAAAGCCAGTTTGTAGCTAATTTTATGTGCAACTTAGTTGTCGAAGACCAAAAAGTTGTATCTCCGATAGATAAAAAGTTGCACTCGTAGGGGATTTGGTAATGCTGATCTAGGGTAGTGCTTGTAGATTTTTTTTGAAGCATCTTAGGAGGTTTTTAAGTACACCATTTTGTAGCAAGTTTGGTCAAGATTTAACAATGCTAAGACATAAAATTAATATATTGATCAGAAAAAAGTTGCATTCGAAATCCTAATAAAAAGACCGATGGTATGGAAATGTTTGTAGAATGTTTGTGATGCTTCTGACAACAAATTTGAATGCATCATTTTGTAGCAAGTTTGGTCTAGATAAACTAATGCTAAGGCAAAAAAAATTCTAACTGGATCAGAAGAGAAGTTGCATACAAAATCTAAAAATTCAAGTACACAGCTGGTATTACCAGTAATACAGTGAAGTAATTAAAAATAGAAGAATAATGGTTCAAAGATTATCCAAATATGATTTGCTTTAATAATTTTAATTTTATAATATTGTCCAATTTAAAAATTAATTAAAATAATATTCAATGTCTAAATTTTGATCCTGAGTTGATCAGAACTGATAGTTTCAAACCTTTACAATATCTTTGTGGTTGATCTTACAAAAAATTTAAAAACGTCGATTGATAGCAAATTTTATTTAGATTTATTTGTGGTAAGAACAAAAATTTTGTCACAATTAGTAAAAAAGTTGCATTCAAAATCCAAAAAATCTAGTAGATAACTGGTTTCACCAGTAGTACAAAGAAATAACTAAAATCAAGAGAATAATCATTTAAAAACTCTCCAAATTCAATTTACCATAACAACTTCAATTTTATGATTCTGACCAATTTAAGAATTAACCAACACCAGTCCTAATATCACCATTTTTATCCTGGTTCAAACTGGTGGTTTTAAACCCTAGTAAATCATGTATGGAAGATCCTACAAATTTTTTAAAAACACCGATTGATAGCTAATTTTTTTAGATTCATTTGTGATGAGACCAAAAATTGTATAATTTCTATTTTACAATATTTACAAATTTTTCACACTCTTTACACTTACACCTAATATTATCAAATTTTAGCCTGGTGATTTTGAACCTTTGTAAATTATGTGCGGAAAATCTTACAAAAATTTTGAAAATGTCGTTTGATAGCAAATTTTATTTATATTTATTCATGGCGTGACCAAAAATTCTGTCTCGATTATCAAAAAAGTTGCATGTAATATCCAAAAACAATGAAGTTGATCAAAAGGTAAGATCAAAAATTTTGTCTCGATTATTAAAAAAGTTGCATCTAAAATCCAAAAACAATAAAGTTGACCAGCACAACCAGGCTGCTGAGAATAAAGGTCTTTATCAGAATAAAAAAAAACAGAAAATTTGTGTTGGATAGTTTGAGAATTAGAAACCAACATCACTCTCAATGTAATAATTGTCACACCTAGTTGGTCAAACTAATGATTTAAAATCCTGGTTGAATTTGTGTGAAAATTGAGAACGAAATTTGTGAAAATGTCGTTTGATAGCTAATTTTATTTAGATTTGTTTGTGGTAAGTCCAAAAATTCTGTCTCGATTAGTAAAACAGTTGCATTCAAAATCCAAAAATAATAAAGTTGATCAGTACAACCAGACAGTTGGTCATAGACTTTTTCAGAAAAAAAAAGAAATAAGCAGAAATGCTAATAAATACTGCTATTGAATAATTTTTTGTATCACATCTATAAAAAAATTGCATATTATACTCATCACGTCTAAAATCCAAAAGCAATTAAGTTGATGACCACAACCACACAATTAACAACCAAAATTCTTAGTAAAATTAGTAAATAGCTATGAATGATTATTCCTATTATGCTGTGGAACATCCTTAATAAAATCCAAAATATTCACCATCATTGTTGAAACATGTAAGTAATAAAAAATATTTCTTTTATTTAGCTAAATGGGATCCCAAAAAAGTATCATCTGACCAAATGTTTCGCATGTTTTATCTAATACACGAAGCAGCAATGTTAGAACCAGAAACCCAAATTAGAGGAGTTGTTTGTATTATGGACTTTGAAGGATTGGGCATGAAACAGGTAAAAGAACTACCAAAACCAGAAAAAATTGTCAAAATCATCAGAATTCAAATTTTACTGTCTATTTTTAGGTAACTTCTATGTCTCCTGCTTTCTCCATGAGACTATTAAGTTTCATCCAGGACGCGATGCCACTTAGGATGAAGGAAGTGCACTTCGTAAAACAACCTTTGATCTTCAACATGGTGTGGAAAATGTTCCAACCATTCGTGAAGGAAAAGTTGAGGAAAAGGGTAAGTAGAATTGAAACTTGATGATCAGTTTTGTAGGAAAAATCTAGATGGTTACGTAACTTGTTCTTTATTTTTTAGTTATTCTTCCACGGCAGCAAAATGGAAGAACTGCACAAGTACATCTCACCATCCCATTTGCCGCAAAACTACAAAGGCCAATTGCCGTCCATAGATTACGGCGGTAAGGACTGGTATCCTGTTATCACCAAGTACGAAGATCATATCAGGAAGTGGAATTCTTATGGTTTCAGTAAGAAGTAATTCAAATAGAAATAGGTAATGGATATTGGATATAAAGTAAGTGACACGATGTTTGTCTTGAATTGGCTTCTGAACTGCTGAACCGATTTTAACTAACTTTCATTAACATCATAACAAATTTTTGGAACTGACATATTTTACTGTATTTTTTTAGTTCAAATTTGTGAGTGTTATTGCAGTTTCTGGACAGTAAATTAAGATTGTGTTCAATCTGGTTTGGCCTCATAATTTGTTACCAGAAATTCCTAGATTATTGCCAGAAATCTCTGGTTTTGTCTAGACAAACAAAATTGCTTTTTCTGTCTGTCAAAATTAATTGAAATTTCCAAAATTGTATTATTACTACTAGAAACTTAGATTTTTAATATTGCTTATAACCTAAATTGGATATAAATGTAAATTCTGGACTATGATTTGAGATCTAGTTATTTCATGACTCTTTACCCGAAACTTCTAAATTCTTTACCAGAAATACCTGTCAAAATTCATTGAAATTCCCAAAATTTTAATATTACTACTAGAAACTTAGATTTTACTATTGCTTATAACATAAGTTGGATATAAATGTAAATTTTGGACTATAATTTGAGATGTAGTTATCTCAAGATTTCTTACCAGAATTTTCTAGATTCTTTACCAGAAATCTCTGTCAAAATTCATTTAAATTTCCTAAATTTTAATATTTCTACTAAGAACTGGAATTTTTAATATTACCTATAACCTAAGTTGGATATAAATGTAAATTCTGGACTATAAGTTAAGATGTAGTTATCTCAGGATTCTTTACCAGAAATTTCTAGATTTTGTACCAAAAATATCTGTCAAAATTCATTCAAATTTCTAAAACTTTAATATTACTACTAAGAACTGAGATTTTTAATTTAGCTTATAACCTAAGTTGCATATAAATGCAAATTCTGGACTATGGTTTGAGATGTAGTTATCTCAAGATTTCTTACCAGAATTTTCTAGATTCTTTCCCAGAAATATTTGTCAAAATTCATTGAAATTCCCAAAATTTTAATATTACTACTAGAAACTGATATTTTTAATATTGCTTATAACCTAAGTTGGATATAAGTGTAAATTCTGGACTATGATTTGAGATGTAGTTATCTCAAGATTCTTTACCAGAAATTTCTAGATTTTGTACCAAAAAAATCTGTCAAAATTCATTCAAATTTCCAAAATTTTAATATTGCTACTAGGAACTAGGGTTTTTAATATTGCTTATAACCTAAAAATTGTATATAAATGTAAATTTTGGACTATAATTTGAGAGCTGTTTTAAGATTGTTTACTAGAAATTTCTAGATTCTCAAAGTCAAAATTCATTCAAATTTTCAAAATTTTAAAATTTCTACTAAGACCTGGGATTTCTAGTATAACCTATAACCTAAGTTAGATGTAAGTGCACATGTTAATCAAATCAAAATTAAAATCGGTTCAGTAGTTTAGGAGTACATTCGAGACAAACATCGTGACACAAAACTTTATATAGGTAAAGTGTTACATAACATTGATGAACCAAACACTACACATATTTTACATCATATATAAAGTTTTGTTGCTCTCATACGTTACATAAAAGTTATTTATAAATGTAGGAATATTATTTTGAAGTTTTTTAATATTTTTTGTTTCGATTTTTTGAGATTCTTGTCAGAAGCATAACTGAATATTATTGTATATGTATGTGTTCTAAAATCTAGTAAAAAGCGAAATTAAAAATTGTTACGTAACATATATGAAACATACATGTTTAACAAATTTTTAAATACGTATTTTGATATTTTTTGAACAATTTAAAACTCCTTGAATTTTAATTTAAATATAAAAATACATAACTGTGTATGTCTAAAGTATTTTCTGTTACGTAACAGATATGAAGCATACACGACACAAAAGAAAATATTAAGGTGACGTCAATTTCTTGGAATTGTATTACAAATTTTAAAAAATTATATCACAAATTTTAAGGAATTTTGATGTCTCATAATAATTTTTCTCCTAGACTTTTAATTGGAAAATGAAAATACATAACTGTGCATGTATATATTTTTTTTGTTACATAATAGAAACGAAACATAGACGTCACAGTGTAAAATGTTAAGGTACTGTCAATTTAACTTGAACTTGTTAGAATTTTATTACAAAATTTTAAGATTTCTCTCTTAACAATTTTTTTGCTGGACCTGGAATTTTAGTTCAAAAATGAAAATACAATCTGTGTTTGAATAAAATAGTTTCTGTTACGTAACAATTAAAAGAATACATCACAAATGTATTTGTTGATGAAAACAAAAATTTTGGGAACAAAAACAGTTTTTTTATAAATAAATAAAATTAGAGAGAACCATAAAAATATAAATACGCCTGATTTGGCGTTCATACTCTGTACATAAAATTTGTTCATATATATATATATATATATATATATATATATATATATATGTATGTATATATATATATATATATATATATATATATATATATATATATATATATATTATGATGCCAAATTTTGCCAACCAAATATTTCGAACCAAATAATTATAATTATATATATAAATATAAGTTTATCGGTTGTTAAAATAAAATAAGACTGCCATTTGTTTGGACAATAATTATTATACGAAATTTATATTAATGTTATATATTTGTTTTTGTATAAATTGTTAATGTTATAATAATTTATAAGGTTGTAGGTTGTTAACAAATATATATATTTTTAAAATATTAAAGCCTTTTAATTTAATTGTATACAAAATTGATATAAAAAATAAAATATATATATATATATATATATATATATATAAATGTATGAAATTTTTTATTTTATTATTGGATTTAAAAATTTTATTTAATTATTGGTTTTAAAGATAAAGTGATTTTTAATGGGCTCTTCAGGGTAAACCAGTAGCATAATAATGTTGAAATTTGGACAAAATATACTTCAATTTGTCTAGTATAAGGACAAAAAGCAACTTGAAAATTTTAATACTTGTAGTATTAAATATTATTAATTCTGTGCAGAAAGTCAGGTGTATGTGGGAAGAAATGTACGTAATGATGCTAAAAATATTTTTAATTACAAAAATTGTGATAGAATGCTAGAAATTTAGTATGTTATACTTCAACATGTCTATTATAAGGAAAAATACTAAAATTGACAATTTGTATACATACGATATTAAAAATAATTTATTTTCCCCAAAACGACTTGGACATAGAGAAAATATTCATAAAAATGACTATATAAAACGTAAGAAAAAAATAGTGTTTTAATTATTTTAACAATTTATTTTTGTAGTATAAAAATTGGAATAGAATGCTATAATTCAGGCATACCAGACTCCAATACGAATGAATTATAAAATTATTTGTTTTTGTATATAGAATATTAAATCATATTATATTTGGTCAAAAAGTACGATTTTGCTCGGAAGAAATGTACTACATAATGTGATTTTTTTTCTTACAGCAGTTGTCTATTATGAATACAAATACTAAAATTGATAATTGTATATATATCGTATATATATTATATTAATTAATAATTTAATTAATTATTAATTTTTTGAAAAAACTACAACTTGCCTTGGAAGCAATATTTATGTCAATGTTGGTGCTATAGTTTTAAAAATATTTTTTTTGTGGACAAGGATTGTGTTAGAATAGTGTAATTTAAATATCATATATTTCAACATGTCTTTTATTAATATAAATACTAAAATTGATAATTTTTATATGTACATTATTAAATATAATTAATTCTGTGCAGAAAGTACGTCAATTTCAAGGCTCTACGCTTTTTTGTATGAAATTTCATTAATTGCTTTATAAAATTATAAATATTGTGTATACAAAATTTGTTATTATTTTATTTTTGTTCATAAAATATTATATTTTATTTAATATAAATAGATTTATTTTTTTTATTTTATAATAATTATAACAAAAAGAAATTAAACCAAAATGAAAACCAAAAGTTGAGAACAAAATAGTGCATTTTTGTACAATTTTTACTATTAAAATTCTAGTATTTAATTTACTCTATTTACTCTACAACTTTTGTATCTTCCAACTAACAGTTTATTAGTTTAAAATATTTTAAAAATTCGTTAAAAATGCTCTCACAACTTTTTTACGACTTTGTATTTTTTTTATATATATTTTGTTTATAACCTTGGTTCATATTTTTAATTGAGGAAGTTACCAAAAAATATATCATTCCTTAAGACAAAAACAAGAAATTATTCGTGCGTGCAAAATGTTATTAACAATAATAATAATTATATAAATGAACAACAAAAAAATTAAATCCAACTAAAAAATCGAATGATGGAACCAAATTGTTTAAATCGATTTTTAACTAAAATTTTATGCTTAAATTAATTATTTAAATTAAATCAACTCCTTAAATACCTATTCCAACAATTTCAATTGGAAATTTGAACAAAAATACATTTATTTACGTAATAAGTTCCGACGCGTGAAATTATTTTGCTGATTGTAAATTTTTTTCGCAATATGATATGTTGCAAAAAACGCATCGAAATTGAATTTAGTTGAAGAAATTAGTTCAAATCGAATTATTCGTCGATAATGTCGTAAAATAAATATGTAATAAAATAAATAAATAAAAAAAATCATAAAAATATATAAAATTGCAAAATTAAGTGCAAAAGTGTGAAGGAAATTTTATAAGTTTAGTAGTAGAAATTATTAAAAAAATTATTTATGTACAAGTCAATAAATTTTTATATCTTATAAAGTGACTATTAAAGAATATTATAAAAATAAATTCATTCAAATATTTAAAGCCAAGGCTGAAAAATTTAAATTATGTCCCAAAATGTCAAGTTTTTAAATTTTAGTGGCCTCGGTTCAGTCTCAAAAGTTTTAGTGAAATCTTAAATTTACTGAATTTAATTTTTTAAAAATATGTTTGTGATATATAACAGAAAGTGTGCTAAATTAATTATATCAAATTAATGGAGAATTTAGAAGTATAAAGTCTTTTTGTAAAACTTGGACGCAACTGTAAGTAATATATATGATGTTATATAATTTTACTTTCACTTACTTTGTGTTCGACAAATGAGAAATTGATGTACTTATATATATACATATATATATATATATATATATATATATATATAGATATATGTGTGTGTGTATGTGTTATATAAATTTCTTAACACAAATAATTCTAAGCCAAAACGGTTTATTGCATAAAAAGCGTTTCAGATTTATTATTTACCAAATCTTTTGTACTATAAATTTATAATTTGAGTATATTATACTCCAATATGTCTATTGTAAGTACAAATTATAAAATTGATGATTTTATTTGTATTTTGTGAAATACAAGAAAAATTACGATAAAAAACCAAGCTGGCCCAGAACAGTCTTCATGTAATTTCAAAATTATATAGAACAATACTCAAATAATTATAAATAGATATTTTGATTTTATATTTAAACTGAACTCTTTGTACTAAAGTGTTGAAAATTGTGTATTTTATACTTCAATATGTCTATTATGAGTACAAATACTAAAACTGGTGATTTTTCTAGTATTTCTTAAGATATTAATAAATTTATGGAAAAAACCTAGCACGCTTAGAAGAGTTTTCATATAATTTTAAAAGTGATACTTAGATTTTTATCTAAATAAAACCCTTTGTTCTATAATACTATAATTTGAGTATATTATACTTCAACATATCTTTTATGAGTGCAAATACTAAAATTGATGAATTTACTAGTATTTCTCAAGATATGAATAAAATTAAGACAAAAAATGGAGAACGGCCTTTGGAACAGTTTATGTATAATTTTAAAAAAGATTTGAATTTTTATCTAACTAAAACCCTTTGCTTTGATATCTTATAATTAGGGTATATTATACTTCAATATGTCTATTATGAATACAAATACTTAAGTCGATGATTTTACTAGTATTTTATGAAATATAAAAAAAAATACGAGGAAAAACTTAGCTCTCCTAGAAAAGTCTTCATATAAATTTAAAAATATATAGAACAAGTTTTTATATATGAGATAGATATTTTGATTTTATATTTAAACTAAACCGTTTGTACTAGAGTGTTGTAATTTAAGTATATTATACTTCAATATGTCTATTATGAGTACAGAAAATCAAATTCATAATTTTAGTTGTATTTTTTAAGATATAAATAAAATTATAAGAAAAAAACTGAACGCGCCTAGAACAGTCATCATATAATTTCAAAAATGAATAGATATTTATGAATAGATATTTTGATTTTTATTTAAACTAAACCCCTTGTTCTAGAAAGCTATATTTCGAGTATAATATATTTCAGTATGTCTCTTATAAATACAAATACTAAAATTGATGATTTTATTTGTATTTCGTAAGATATAAATAAAATTATGAAGAAAAATCTAGTACGTCTAGAACTAAACCTAAATGAAACCTCTTGTTCAAAAAATATGAAATTTGAGTATATTATACTTCAACATGCCTTTTGTGACTACAAATACTAATATTGGTGATTTTACTAGTATTTTGTAAGATATAAATAAAATTACGAGGAAAAGCCGGGTACGTCTAGTACAGATTTTATAAGTCATAACTTGATTTTTTATTTTAATAAAACTTTTTGTCCTAGTATATTGTAATTCGAGTACATTATACTTCGATATGTCTATTAAGAGAATAAATACTAAAATTGATGATTTTGCTTGTAGTTTTTAAAATATAAATGAAATTAAGGGAAAAAACCAGCGCGCCTTTAAGCATTTTCATATAATTTTGGAAATGATAGATTGATATTTTATCTAAATAAAACCATTTGTTCTATAATACTATAATTTGAGTATATCATACTTCAGTATGTCTGGCATAAGTACAAATACTAAAATTGACAATTAAACTAGTATTTCTTAAGATATAAATAAAATTATTAGAAAAAATTCATAGAAATCGGGTACGTCTAAAAGAGTCTTCACATAATTTTAGAAAAAATAATTTAAATTTTTATCTAAACAAAACCCTTTGTTCTAGAATGCTATAATTTGAGTATAATATACTTCAATATGTAAATTATGAGTACAAATACTAAAATTGATGATTTTACTGGTATTTTGTAGGATAAAAATAAAATTATGAGAAAAAAGCGAGTTTGACTAGAACACGGTCTTCATGTAATTTTAATAGTGATACTTTGATTTTTTATTTAACATAACCCTTTGTACTAGAACTCTAAAATGTAAGTATATTATACTTCAATATGTCTATTATATGTACAAATATTAAAATTGGTGATTTTACTAGTATTTTATAAGATATAAACAAAACTAGGAGAAATAACCAGGACGATTAGAACAAAATGATGTGGAAAATCTTTTATTACCTGATATTATTTTTTTTTTTATTTGCCAATTTTTTGTACTAGAAATCTATAAATTAGGTATATTATACTTTAGTAGGTATATTTATTATAAGCACAAATGCAAAAACCAAAAAAATGCAATATAAGATACTAATAATAAATACAATAAATAGTTTCATGTAAAAATAAAGAAACTGAATATAAATTCTAAACATTATAAAAAAAATAAAATAAATCAAATGGTTTTCAAAATATAACTTATAACTATAAATATATTTTCAATATATTTATTCACATTTAAGCCAAAAAATTCACCAATTGAAAAAAAAGATGAATACTTTCTTTAATTTATTAAATTATTTAATGTAGTGTTACTATATTTAATGTAAAAAATTGATCTTTTTAATTATACATAGAATTAAAGTTTTTAGTTTACGTTCTTTAAAATATTTTTGGAAAAGTAAACAACCACATCTTCTAAAAAATAACAAAAATATATTCATTCTTCAGGAATATTTATAATTTTCATTTTTCATAGTTAATAAAAAAATCAAAGTATATGCAGTCAAAGAATAAAGTGGTGTTTTGATTTGGATTTAAATATATATATATATATATATATATATATAAATATATATATATATATATATATATACATATCTACATCCGTTTTTCGATAACATTATGATTTAGTTATCGTTTTGCAAATAGAAAATTCACTTTTTAAACTTTGAACTTTGTTCAAAATGCAGATTTCATTTGAAACTAATTTACAAACAATCAAAGTGTTAATTAATTAATTATATGAAATTTATAATTAATTAAAATTTGAAATAGACACCTTTGTTAGAACAACATTGTACAAATAAAATAATTTTTGATATAATAATAAAATAACTTAAAATAAAATATTTTGTTCATGTTATTCGTTTTTAAAAATTTGCCAAAAACATTTTAATTTTCAAATTATCAATATATTATGACTAATATAATATTTGGACTATAAATTTTTGTTTATGATATCGGTGAATAAATCAAATGTAAACCATAAGTCGATTTTTCTCAAGAAAATTCTGACATTTTACATACTCAAAACTGTCAAAATTATTCGAAATTTTAGGAATTCTGTATTTTGAAAATAAACTGTAGTTTTCATTATAACTTATAACCTAATTTAGATATAAATGCATAAAGTGAGCAAATAAAATTTAAAATCGGTTCAGTAGTTTAGAAGTACATTCAGGACAATCATCGTGACATAAACTTTATACATACTGATATATATATATATATATATATATATATATATATATATATATAATTATACATATACATATATTTTTATTTTTATATATTTATATATTATAAACAAATCCCCTCTCAATCTTTCGCTAAAATTCATGGACATGTATTTTCTTCGCATTGCGTTCAAATAATCTTTAAAGTTCAAACGAACAACACGTTTTATAATAAAATATTTGTTTAAATAAATGAAATAACAATCAAATAGTATTTTTAATCGTTTAGTATAGTTTAAACGATTTTATAGTACGTTTCATCCAAAGTGCCAAAAATTTGGGAATAAACAATTTCGGATAAAATAAGGTATGAAAAATATTATATATAAATTATGTATATAAATTTATATATATATATATATATATATATATAAATTTGGTTTAGTTCCATAATTTTTTTCTATTTTTTCTGTAACTTTTCTGATGTAAAAAATAATCCCTTAAAAATAATACAAATTTAAGTACACGTTGAAAAGTTTTATAATTAAATATGAAATATACACATATATTTTCATGTTTTAATTATTTATGAGAAATTTAATATATTGATTAGAATTGATTTTGCTCAATACGAATTGTCCTAAAGAACTTGTATATAATTTTTCTATTTTCCAAAAAAATAAAAACAACAAGAAAAATAGATGTTTTATATTAATATAAAACAATTATATTTAATTATATTTTTATTCTTTTGTTATTGTAAATAATATAATAATTTGAAGTTCAAATTATAATATTTTGTATTCTTTATTTTTAATGAAGTTAGCGAAATTAATATTTTTATACCGATTCTAATTTAATTAAAAATATTATAATATTTAAAAATTTAGAATTCAAAAAATGTTATAAAACCTAAATATCTTATTGCAAATTTAAGTTATTTACAAAATTTATATCTAAATAAAAATTAAAATCAAATTAATATTTAAAATAATTACACTAAATATTAAACATTATTAAAATTTGATAAATTATTTTAAATAAAATTTTTGCATAAACATTAAAAATCTCAAATGTAATATTTTTGTTTAAAATTATTAAAACAATATTTAAAATTGCATAAACAAGAACAAAAAGCATTTTTGAAAAATATATTAGAACATATAAAATAAAAAATATTTTATATATTAGTAACAAAGATTTTTATTTAATATTTTAATCTTTTATACTAAATTTAACATTTTAATTTTAAAATTAGTATAATTTTTGCTAATACATATATATATTAAAATTTGATATCTAATTTGTCAAAATAAAATTAACATTTTAATTTGAATTTTGATCAATACAATTTGTCATATAATTTCATATAATTTTAATAGTGATACTTTGATTTTTTATCTAAATAAAACGTTATGTTCTAGGATGCTAATATTTGAGTATATTATACTTCTGTATGTCTATTATGACCACAAAGACTAAAATTGGTGATTTTATTTGTTTTTTATATGATATAAATAAAATTACGAGAAAAGACCGAGCACGTACATAATTTTATATATAATTTTGAAAGTGATACTTTGATTTTTTATCTAAATAAAAGTTTATGTTCTAGAATGCTAATATTTGAGTATTGTATACTTCAGTATGTCTATTATGACTACAAATACTAAAATGGATGATTTTACTAGTATTTTACATGTACTAAATAAAATTAAGGAAAAAAACCGAACTTGCCTAGCCGGTCTTCATATAACTTCAAAATTATATAGAGCTCCTCGAATAATTATAAATGAATATTTTAAATTTTTATTTAAATAAAACTCTTTGTAGTAGAATGTTCTGATTTGAGTATATTGTACTTCAGTATCAGTATTATGGGCATAAATATTAAAATTGATGATTTTAATTGTATTCTTCATGAGATAATTACAATTCGTTCTAAAAGGCTCGTGTTTGTTTTATTAATATGTAAAACAAGTTTGGAATAGTTTTATACAGGAAACAAAAAAATCATCTATTAATTTGGTTCCTCTATTTTACTCGTGAGATGTTCGGAATTTCCCACAAAAAATATTAGAATCAAATTGTTTGGGTAATTCCATAGGAACTTAATATTTCCTGAACACCTTCATAGACGAAAAAACTATTCGCACGTGCAATATTAGAATTTATAAAAACTATTGAATTTTTTTAGTAAATTTTGTACGTAGTTTAGTTAATTGATCAATTTTAAAAATTGCAAAAATTTGCATGAACAAAAATATTTTAAATAGTTCTTGCTTGAAATTTTATAAAAAAAACAGTGTTTTTTCTTAACAACTTATTAACGACTATATATTTTTTATATTTTTAATATTTAACGAAAACCCCAAAAATACATAAACCGAATATCACATTTTTATAATATATTTAATTTTTCCTAATTTTTTTATGCAGGAACAAAAATATCTTAAATAGTTCTTGCCTTGAACACTGCCAACAAAAATAGTGTTTTTCCCTAACAACTTCTGAAAGACTTCATAATTTTGATATTTTTAATATTTAACCCAAACTTCCAAAATACATAAAATATAACCAAATATTAAATTTTGATAATATATTATATTTTTCATAATTTTTTTCTGCAGGAGCAAAAATATTCCAAATAGAAATATCTCTTGGAACACTACCAACAAAAAACTCTTTTTTTTAACAACTTATTAGAGACTTCATACTTTTTATATTTTTAACATTTAACGAAAACCTCCAAAATACATAATTAATCCTCAAATATTATTTTTTTATGATATATTATATTTTTCATATTTTTTCTGCAGGTGCAAAAATATTCTAAAAAGTTTAGTTCTTGCTTGAAACACTAACAACAAAAATAGTGTTTTTCTCTAACAACTTATTAAAGTCTATATATTTTATATATTTTTAGTATTTAACCAAATCCTCAAAAATGCATAAACAATAACCAAATATTGAAATTTTATAATATATAATATTTTTTAAAAATATTTTCTGCAGGAACAAAAATATCCTAAATAGTTCTGGCTTGGAACACTATCAACAAAAATAGTGTTTTTCCCTAACAACTTGTTAAAGAATCTATAATTTTTATATTTTTAATATTTAACCAAAACTTCAAAAAAACATAAACAATAACCAAATATTAAATTTTTATAATAAATTATATTTTTAGCATTTTTTTTCTGCGGGAGCAAAAATACTCCAAATCGAAATATTTCTTGAAACACTACTAACGAAAACTGTGTTTTTTTCTTAACAACTTGTTAAAGACTCTATAATTTTTATGTCTTTAGTTATTAACAAAAACCATAAAAATATATAATTTATCCTCAAATATTAAATTTTTATAATATATTTAATTTTTTATAATTTTTTTCTGCAGGAGCAAAAATATTCCAAATATTCCTTGCTTAAAATACTACCAACAAAAATAGTGTTTTTCTCTAACAACTTATTAAGGACTTATTACTTTTTATATTTTTAATATGTAATCCAAACCCAAAAAATACATAATTGAATCTCAAATAGTAAATTTTTTTAATATATTATTTTTTTCCTAATTTTTTTCTGCAGTAGCAAAAATATTTTAAATAGTCCTTGCTTGAAACAACTACCAACAAATCCAGTGTTTTTTCTTAACAACTTCTCAAAGACTATATAATTTTCATAATTTTAATATTTACCTAAAACCCCAAAAATACATAATTAACCCTCAAAAACCAAATTTAATATTATATTTTATTTTGTAATTTTTATTTTCTGCGGGAACAAAAATATCCTAAATAATTCTGGCTTGGAACATTACCAACAAAAATAGTGTTTTTCCCTAACAACTTGTTAAAGAATCTATAATTTTTATATTTTTAATATTTAACCAAAACCTTCAGAATACACATTACGTAACCAAATATCACATTTTTATAATATATTATATTTTTCATATTTTTTTTTATGCAGGAACAAAAATATCCTAAATAGTTCTGGCTTGAAACACTACCAACAAAAATATAGTTTTACCCTAACAACTTAAAGATTACCCAATTTTTACAATTTTCATATTTAACCAAGACTTCAAAAATACCTAATTAATCCTCAAATACCAAATTTTTTCAATATATTATGTTTTATTAATTTTTTTCCCCAGGAACAAAAATGCCGGTGCAATTCTCTTCGGACGGATCTCCTTATATAGAATTATCTCCAAAGGCGGTAATTCGTTTGGAAAAAGATGAGTTGAATGAAAAAGAAAAATTAAAGGCCGAAAAGGAGTTGAGAGAAACTCCAGAAGTTGTTGAAGAAGGCCTTAAGGCCTTGAGACAACTTATAGAAGGTAATAATAAAAAAATATAAAAGAAAATTGGTGCAAATTTTAGTAATTTTACTGGTTTTTTGCTTCAGATGAACCGGATTTTTATTTTCCCGACGATGTGGATTATATGACAGAGTTTTTGAGGCCTTGCAAATATTATGCGGAAAGTGCAATGGATTTGGTAAGTCACGAATAATTCCAAAACTCTTAAACATCCAATTTTTATCCATGGAATTCGACCGGATTTTTGCAATTTTTTTACACAATATTTATCCTCAATAAATCCTCAATCTTTTTACTCAATATTTATATGCTTATTATTTTTTTATATATTTATTATCAAGATGAGGAGATACTACACATTCAAGATAAAACATCCAGCAATTTGTCAAAATGTTTTGCCGAGCAAAAATAGAATCGCTTTTGAACAAGGAGTCATCAGTTTTATGCCAAAAAGAGACAAATTTGGAAGAAGGATTCTCATAATTCAGGCTGGCAGTAAGTAAAAACCGTTCCAATTACTCCACAACAATTTACACATATCAAACAAACAACTATCTGACTATGTTCAGTAAAATCCCAGCCAAATCATCATTGTAGAAATAGATTTTTCTAACTTTTTGTCACCGGGTTTTTTATTTCAATTACTATTATTTTTTAGAAAAATGGATTCCCAAAGACTGTTCTTTGTGGGATATGTTCAAGGCCCTCCAAATGGCCTTGCTGGCTGCCATGGATGAACCAAAGACCCAAGTAAATGGTGTCAGTTGTATCATAGACCTTAAAGGCCTGTCTTTGACCCATGTTTACCAGTTTACGCCCAATTTTGCCAAATTGGCCTCCGGGTGGGTACAGGTGAGGAAAAAATTATATAAATATATAATTTTGTTCTAAACGACTTGATTTGTTATATACAGATTTATAAATAATTCTATTAGCTTTTTAATGATATATAAATATATATACACGTCTGAACAAATTATTTAAAAAAAATTATCAGATTATAAAAAAATGCTACCAGGCATATCTGTTTACATAAGGACTACAAACGCCTGAATTGAATTTAAAAGTTCAAAAAAATTTTTAAATATAATTTTGTTCTAAACGACTTAATTTGTTATATAAGGATTAATAGGTAATTTTATTAGTTTTTTACTTCTATATCATTTTATATACATGTTCGAACAGATTATTTAAGATAATTAATTATCAAAATATAGAAAAATGCACCAAGAATCCCTTGCAGATTTGTTTAAGAAAATAACGTCGAACGCTTGCATTGAGTTTGAACAATTTTTTAAATATAATTTTGTTTGAACGACTTGATTTGTTATATACAGATTTATAGATAATTTGATTAGCTTTTCATTGATATATCATTATCTATTTATGTCGAAACAAATTATTTATAAAATTTATCAAAATATAAAAAATGCACCCAGAATCATAGGCATATTAGTTAGAAAATGGCATCAAACGCTTGAATTAAATATGAAAGTTTAAATAACTTTTTAAAATAATTTTGTTCTAAATGACCTAAATTATTATATACAGATTTGAAGACAATTTTGTTACCTTTTCTTTGATATATTATTTTGTATACACGTTCAAATTATTTGAGAAAATTAACTAAATATAAAAAAGCAGCCACAACCCCTACTACATTTAATATGACGTCAAACGCCTGCATTTGAGCAATTTTGATCAATTTTCTAAATATATTTTTGTTTTAAACGACTTATTTGATTATATACAGATATATAGATAATTTTATTAGCTTTTCATTGATATATCATTTTATATATACACGCTTGAAAAAATATTTAAGAAAATGGTTGAAATATAAAAAAATGTAACCAGACCCCAAGCATCAATTTGAATTAATATCTTTCGACAAAGTGCATTTGATTGCAATATATATACAACGGCGTATAAAGTCATTTTATGTACCAAAAAAAATAATATAAATTTTTATTTATCACAAATTTATATCCTCATTCGATACAAACTCGAAATCTATTATTAATATTTACCTAACTTTTACAATTTACTCATGACATTAAAATCTTTCTTAACAATGCACCGACTAATAAGTCTTCCTAATGAACAATTTTAAGTTCCATGCTAATTTACATACTGAATTATTTGATTTATCTAATTTATTATTCAGTAGATGTCAAGTAGATTTTTTTAATAAGTGTTTATAGAAAGTAAAAATTCGATCAATTGGAACCATGACCGAAAAAACTGGTTTGTTGACATTGAAACCGACGCAGTTGTTCTTCGTGACAAAGATTGTAAATTAAATATAAACAATATAAAAAATATAGATGTATATATGTGTAAATATATGTATATATATATATATATATATATATATATTATTTAACAAACAGAACACGAATTGACGAACGTTGCACCAGACATATAAATGGACTGATTTAATTGTGTCAAGGTCGGATAAAATGCATAAATTTATATATATATATATATATATATATATATATATATAAATATATATATATATACGTGTATGTGTTTAATGTTTTAATTTAAAATTCTGCATAGAACAACTTTTATCATAATAAGTTTCAAGATAAACAAGAACTTGCCTCTTACTTTATATAATTGTACATATCTTGTTATAAATAATTCTGAAGATGAAAAAGTTTATTTCCGAATCATATAATGAACAGATAATTTTTGTTAACCCTGTATATAACAAAACAAAAAATTAGTTCTGTATTTATCTAATTATTTCAGTATTCATCTAATTATTTAATCTAATGAATTCAATGTAAATTAAAATTTTAATGAAAGTAACAAATGTTTCGAGGTCTCATTTTCAGTCAAAATAATATTTTATTATATAATTATATTAAGTAACTTTTTAGAAAAAAACGTTACAGAAATATTTAAAAATTTACAGAAGTAAAATAATATAAATTTTATACTAAAATAATTTTATATCACACTCAACATCGATTTCAATTTTGCTCATATGTGCTATAACTGTCGAATAGTGCATTTGTTTGTTATATTATATTATTTATAGCAAATAAACTATTTGTGTTAGCTAAACGAAGTATTTAATAATTTTATGCAAAATTGAATGCTCTATATTTTTGTCTAACATCAAAATGCCCTAAAGCAACTCGGTATACCAATAAATCGATACGAAACATGAAGGAAAAGATATTGTTTATATAAGTCATAACTTATAACAGTGCTTTTTTGCGTTATAATATTAATAACAAATAAATTATTTGCGATCTGCTAATAGTGTATTTGGAAAATTTATACAAAATTAAATTCTCTATAATTTTATCTAACATCAAAACGCCCTAAAGTAACTCGGTATACTCATAAATTGTCTCCAAAATTGACTAATATTTATAAATTAATTATAAAAAGTATATTTAGCAGACTTGTAAAAAATTAAATGATCTATAATTTTGTTTTATAAAACGTTACAAAACAAGATTATTTATGGTAGTTTGAAAAACATAATACATAAGATAAGTTTTTATAGTTTGATTAATTATTATCGGTTGCACCTTTATAAAAAATTGAATGTCACGGATAAATTAATAGAGCTAAATAAAAACCCATAAAATATTCAAAATCAGCATTAGATATCAATTTGAATGCGTTCTAAATAAAAATTTTAAAAAAATTATCAAGTATGTAAAAATATTTTTCATTTGAAAGCATTCTAATATTTTTGTTGAACGCTTTTGGAAAATATTAACAAATTATTTAATTATAAGTATTTATTCATATATTGCAGAAAAATTTATAAAATCTGTATATAACAATTTAAATAGAAGAAAATAGAAAGCTAAGAAAATTACCTATGAATTTGTATATAAAAGTCTAAATCGTTCAGAACAAATTTATTGTAAAGAAAATATTTAAATTGTTACTGATACCTACTGATTCTGTAGGTTTGCGGTTACATTTTTTTTATATTTCGATTTGCCGTCTTTTTCTGTTGTGAAAAATCAATTTAGAAAATGCCTTAAATTTTGAACTTCTCACTTTTACTTACATTTATTATTTTGTTAGTAATTTTATAAATATTTTATGTCTTTTTAGGATTGTGTTCCATTAAGATTGAAAGGACTTCATGTCATCAACCAGCCATATTTATTTAACATGTTATTTGCAATTTTCAAACCATTTTTGAGACAAAAACTGAGAAAAAGGGTAAGTAAAATTGATTTTTAAAATATAAACAAAATTTAAAATCTATCAACTAATATACACGCATTTAACTTTAATAATATCTTGATACATCTGTTCAAAGATTACAATAAAAACGTGAAAATTCTTGAATAAATTTTACAACTGAAATTTGTTTAATATGATATTTATGGAATAAAACTTTTGTCGATGTAACACGTTAAGAAAATATTTCTTTAATAATCCAGCAAACTTCAAAATCCACTCAAAATACTACAACTTCTAAAATAACTATTTAACTTATCTATATACTAATTTTAGTAAATAATTTAACATATACATTTTAAATAAATTATTTGAAAATGCAATTCAGAATTCACTCGTCTTTCTCATATATTCTCTCTGAGTGCAATGCTTCAGTAAAATATTTTTTTTAAAATCCATAAAATTTCAAAATTCACTAAAAATGCTGCCTAGCTATTTTAGAATAGCTACCTAACAAATCTGCATACTAATTTTAGTACATTAGTCAATCAGATAAATTAAAAAAAATATATTTTTATCTACGGTTTGGAATGCACTTGTCTTTATCATAAATTCTCTCAGGGTGCAATGCTTCACTAAAATATTTTTTTTTAAATGCAACAAAACTCAAAATTTAATAAAAATGCTGTCTAGCTATTCTAAGATAACTAATTACCAAATCTGCATGAAAAATTAAGTAAATAAATCAATATATCTATTAACTAATAACTTATTAACTAATTTATATACTGATATTAGTAAATATATCATTTTTTCTATTTTAGATAAATTATTTACCATTACAAATCGGAATCCACGTGTCTTTCAGATAAATTCTCTGAGAGAGCAATGTTTTAATAAAATATTTTTTTAAAAATCCAGCAAATCTCAAAATTCACCGAAAATACTAACTTGCTGTTCTTAAATTACTATTTAACAAATCTGTATACTAATTTTAATAAAAACAATTAATCAATCTATTTTAAATAAGTGATTTACCATCACGATACAAAATTCACTCGTCTTTCCCACATATTCCCTCAGAGTGCTACGCTTCAGTAAAATATTTTTTAAAAATCCAGCAAACCCCAAGTTTTACCTAAAACACCAACAACCCCTTCTAGAATAACTAATAACCAATCCCTTATACCAAATTTATTCAATTTTTAATTATTTATATTTTAAACAATTTTTTCCCTCCAAAGATCCATTTTCACGGTTCGGATTTCACCCAACTCTGTGAATGGTTGGGCGAAGAAAATCTTCGGGAGGACATGGGAGGCACTTTGGAGGCTCCTGAATGTGATGGAATAATGTTAGCTGATCTTTTGTGCCAATATGAAGACAAATTTAAACGTAAGTAACCAGAAAATTTAAAAAAAATTGGGTTTTTAGGTGCAAATTAGCAATAAATCACAAAATTATGGATATAAAACAAATGGTAAAAGTTACTTGTTGGAGGCTTAAAATATTAACAAATAGTTGACGTAAATTGTTAAAAATTGTAAAAGATATTCTTTGATGTTTCTAGTTTATTCCTGGATACTTTTTGTCTTAATTTTTTTCACAAAATTTAGAGAAATTAGTAAAATAGCTGACAACTACCAAATTGTTCACACATTTCGACGCCTAAAATAATTTTTAGTTTGTCTCAGTATAATTTTCTAACCACCAAATTATTTTTAATACTTTCAATTATTTTTAATTAATATTATTATATACCAATTATTATTATTTGCGTAAATTTTATACATTTAAATATTAATTAATGATTTGTTATATTTTTTCAGTTGCTGAAACTTTTGGTTATAAATCCAAGGAAAATTTATAAGTTTATTAAAAAATAATATATATTTATAAGTAAGTATTAACAAATAGTTAGAAATTAGTTAAGTAAAAATTAAAAATGATCTTAAACTATATATATATATATATATATATATATATTATTATTATATTTTTATTTTATTTTAGTTTAAATAAAATTTAATTTAGTATCTGTGATGTAAACAAAAATGACACAAAATTTTTAGATAAAAATTTGTGATTTTTAAAAAACGAATTTAGTAGAAATTATTAATTAATTTTAATTATTGTATATAAATTAGAATAAATTTAAATAATTACTCCAAGATAATTTTATTTCCAAATTTGTTCACTAAGAAAAATCTTGGGAAAATGAAAATCCTGTAATTTGTATTAATAAAATTAAATATGTAGTTTGGTTTTTATTGCTAAATTCTATATGTAAATTTTTTTTTAAAATAATTATTTATATATATATATATATATATATATATATTTGCTAAATTATTTATTTCTTACATATATAAATTTATTAAGCAAAAAATAAAACATTTATTTTTTTAACACATTTATTTTCACATTTTTTTATTATTAAAATATATAATAATATAATATAAAATTTATCCAAAATAACCAAATTTTCAATAAAATTAAACACACATACACACATATACATATATACACATACACACACATATTTATTTGATAAAATATTTATTAAATTCATAAATTTAATTTTATCTATATATTAATAATTATCACCATTTTTTGTCAATTTTTTTAAACATATTTGGAATGTTAGAATAAAATAATTTAAAATTTATTGTTGCTATTTTTAATTAAAATTAAATTTTGCTAATATATTTATTTTTAAGTAGGCATTTTTTTTTTTAATTTTGCTGACGCCTGTGTGGCAAAAATTTGTGAAAACTAGTAGTTTTAGATAATAATGATTTATGGAGATTTTGTTTAGAATTTATTGGCTACAAAACTGTAAAATATGGTTTTGTGCTAAATTCAATTATTTAGAAGATTTTTCCAAGCTAAGGCTTTATCATATAGAAGGTTTTATCAATTTTTTCAAATTTTGTCTCTAATGTGATGCAACTACTGTAGATGTATGAAGGAACTTGCACTTTGCATAATTTTTTGGCAATAAATATGGTAATATACATAAAAACTGTGTTCACAGCTTTTGTTTAAAATTGTATGAGCTTTAAAACTGTAAAACAGAGTTTTGTGTTAAAATGAACCATTTGAAAGATATTAGCACTTTTATCAATATTGTCCTCAACGTTATAGGCTATTTACAGTATAGGAAGAGGATGTACTCTTTTCGTGAAGCTTTTTGCAAAAATCTAGCAAATGGTAAATTCTGCACTAAAATGGTATGAGAAGCCTTGGTTTAAAATTTTGTTAGCTACAAGTCCCCAAAATACAGTTTTGAGATAAAACCAGTAGTTTAGAAGATATTAGTTCTACTAAAATTGTCCTCAAAGTTGTAAACGATTCAAAATATTTATATATAAGAATTCCGGTTTTTGCCAAATTTATGCAAAAATTTATGCAAATGTTAAAATTCGCATAAAAGTGATGTATAACATGTTTGTCCAGATTTTTTTAGCTATCTGATCACTGAATACAGTTTAGTGATCCAATCACGCGTTTAGAAGATATAAGTACATTACTACCTCAAAAACGATATGGAAAAAAATTCACTGGTTTTCTACGTTTTCGGCAAAAACACGAAAATGGTAAGTTTTACCCAAAAATTGTATAAGGAAGATTTATTTAGAGTTGAATGATCTAAAAATCTCCAGAACATTATATAGAGATAAAACCAACAGTTTCCAAAATTTTTGCACTGGAGCACGTTGGCGTCAAGTGATGTTAATTTTTGGTGATGCTCAGAAGTTTCTTATCAAAATAATCAAAAGGCAAGTTAAGGCAACGAGTTCCACATCTAGTGATGTTTACAACAGAGTATTTGTGTTCTTGATTGATGCCTCTAGAAGTTTTACTTCTAATTATCCTTACAAACTAATTTTTTGTCTAATTAATTACCACACCTCCTGAAAGTTTCACGAGATTCATTTTGTAATCTTTTTGTTGTATCCGTAGGAGTTGATTGCTGAAATCACACAATATTGGTAAATTTGTGGTAAATTTCCAAATTTGATGATAATGGTGATAAACTTGATCAATAAGGTGAATGATTATGTAGATTGTTAGATGATATGTGCAATTGTTAGATGATTTTATGAATGTTTGTTGATGGCCAAGTTTTCTTGATCTCCAATCATTAGAAGTGGTAAATTATATTAGTTGATGGTGCTGATGGATTTTGTTAGTATGGTGAATTATTATGTAGATTATTAGATGATTTTGTTGGTCAACATTTGTTTGTAGATCTTGCGACCCAGTTTTGCTAAATTTTCAACTTTCTGGTCAATATGATTAATATTTTGAGATGTACTTGGGTGTTTTTATGGATTTCTAATTGTCAACAGCTGGTGAAATAATTTTTTATTGCAAAGTGTACACAATCACATAACAATTTAAACGAAATTGTTTGATATAATCCAAAGATCTTGACAAGTATTATTACTAAAGTCTTCGATGTTCTAGATTATTTAAAATCATCAGGACTTTGTCCAAGTTTGTTGACAACTTGACCAACTGGTGTAATCAATTTAATATTGACTTCTTTAAGTATGCAAATATTCGCAAACATAGGCACTATTTTAAATATTAATTCAAAAAGAATGCTTTTTGCTGAACCAAGTTGTTTTTTGCCAATAGCCAAAGACTTGGCTTTTTGGATTAATTGTGCTGATATTTACCAAATTTGAACTAAATGCTAGTGAGTTTTTTAAATATTTTCAAATTTTGGACATCACTTCAAATATTGACCCTAGCAAAACTTTGTTGCTGGTCAAAATGTAAAGTAATTCTACTGAATATATTATTTTACCCAAAGTCACCAAGATAGGAGACCAGCTTTACCATCAATTTTAAATCAGAAATTGCTAACAAAAAAGTTATCTTCTTAAATATTCCTAAATTTTGACATGTCTTTAAATGCTGATCCAAACAGAAACTTTTTTGCTGGTCAAGAAGTAAAGTAATTCCACTAAATAAGTAAATTTTCCCAAAGTCACCAAGACAAAACATCAGTTTTACCACTAATTTTGAACCAGAAATTGTGGCAAATATAGTGAACTCCAGGAATATTCCTAAATTTAGACTTGATTTTAACAATTAATCCAAACAAAAACTTTCTTGCAGGTCAAACTATGCAATAAATCGAATGAATATATAAATTTTACCAAAGTCACCAAGACAAGATATCAGTTTTACCATCAATTTTGAACCAGAAATTGTGGCAAATGAAATAAAGTCAACTCTTGGAATATTGCTAAATTTAGACGTGTCTTTAAATTTTGATCCAAACAAGAACTTTCTTACTAGTCAAAGTGTAAAAAAATTCAACTAGATAAATAAATTTTATCCAAAGTCACCAAGGCAAAAGATAAGTTTCATCATCATTTACAAACCAGAAATTGAGACCAACGAAGTGAATTTCTTGAATATTACATAATTTAGACACAAATTCAAATACTGATCTAAATCTGTCTCTTATTCTTAATCAACTATCCTTTAATGTTTCCAATGAAATAGATATTCATAACAAACACTTGACCTAATCAAATAATCTCCATATGCACAAGTTAACCTTTTTATTTTCTTTTCAAATATCTCATTATTTCATCTTATTCTGTTTATAAATAATATTGTTACATTCTGCATTATATGTAATTTTATGTTAATAATATATATTGTAATTTTGTTTATATTTTAATTGTTATTCATAATGTAAAATAATTATATTTTTGAGTCCTTTTGGAAGAAATCTGTAGGCTATATATTTAAAATAAATAAATAAATGAAATAAATAAAAACTTTCTTGCTGGTCAAATTGCAAAATAATTCAACTAGATATATAAATTTCACCATTGCCACGAAGACAAGACATCAGTTAATTATATAAATTTTACCAAAGTCACCAAAATAATACATCAGTTTCACCAGTAATTTTAAACCAGAAATTGAGATCAATAAAGTAAGTCCCTTAAATATTCCTAGATCCAAACAAAAACTTGTCTGCAGGACCGATTTGTTCTTCGAACAATAGCCAACAAATTTGCTCAGTGATCAATTTAATAGATGATAAAAAGTGATAAACCCAATTTTTTTCACTCTTACCTTTGAATTCAGGATCACACATAACCAGCAGCTCATACCATTCCTCTCCTCGAACTCTTGGTATATCCAAATGACCACCATAACAATCTGGTAGACATTTGGCACTAATGTGCTGGTGCAAAGATTTGCGATCAGTACCATGGAAAATAATCCTGGACTTCAATTTGTCCCTCAGGAAGGGTTTGAAGAGCTGGAACACCATGTTGAAGATGTAGGGCTGGTTCACTATGTGGATGCCCTTGATACGAAGGGGAACTGAATCCTAGGGAAAGAGATAAATGTAACCATGATTTTTTTAGGTAAGTCTATTTACCTTAATCTTGGTCTATTTACCTGAAGCCAGTCAACTATCCTTTTAGCAAATGGTGGTGTGAATTGCCAGACTTGTTGCATCGACAAACCGTCCATGTCGAAGATGACAACTGCACCACAAATTTGGGTTTCGGGTTCCAACATTGCAGCTTCTAGAAACATGACTGCACCTTTGAAGACCTCATCTAAGTTGCATTTGTTGTGCTTCCATTTTTCTAAAAAAAAACAAAGTGTAAATTTTGGAAGATCATGATGAAGCTAGAACTTGTTTTTGGATGTAGAACTATTAGATTAGATATATAATTTGAATAAAAATTGTGATGGCAGTATTGTTTTGAAGGTTGTTTCTAAAATGTTTTTAAAATTTACTGGACAAGACTAATTTTGTTCCTGAAGATGATATAAAATGGTGGAAGATCATGGTGAAGCAATAATTTGTTTTGCGTT